ACTGAATAAACTGAAGATTATTATTGTTTATGACTTTGTTAAAAATATTGCTGATTTTTAAATTTTCATTTATTTTCTTAGAGCAGTTTTGTGAATTGTACCTTTTAATAATCAATATTAAAACATATTTTTCTCCAAACTTGATCCCTCCAGAATTTAAAAACTCTTTTAATAAGTGACTATTCTTATTTTCATGGCAATATGTTTGTTTGCATGAATCCAATAAGAATCTGATTTCTTCATAGCAGACCAATTGTAGTTTTATTAACCAAGACTTTGACTGGAATGTTATGTTTGCAAATGTCATGCCTAGACTCTTAACTGTCAGCAAAAAACTTTAAAAAATAAAGATTGACTTTAAAGCCAAGAAAAGTCCTTTGGGAAAATGTCCTGGTACCTTTCCTGGGAACCTTAACTATCAATATATAGTCTAAATTTGGTTTTAAAATCAAGATATAATTCACATAGGATACAATTCACCTTCTTAAAGTATTTGTTTGGTTTAAAAGATATGTTTTTTGCCGAAACCGGTTTGGCTCAGTGGTAGAGTGTCGGTTCTGTGGACTGAAAAGTCCCAGGTTCGATTCCGGTCAGGGATGTGCCCGCAATTGGTTGCGGGCACATGCCTGGTGGGAGGTGTGCAGGAGGCAGCTGGTCGATGTTTCTCTCTCATCGACGTTTCTAGCTCTCTATCTCTCTCCCTTCCTCTCTGTAAAATATCAATAAAATATGTGTTTTTTTTTAAATAAATAAAAGATACATTTTTAACATGGCACAAAAATTTCTCAGAGGAAATAAATCTTCTTTTAAATAATTCTATAGACTTGTGTGGTTTTCTAAAGGATGCTCATATTTTAACATTTGGAAGGAAAATGATGAGTTGAAATGAATGGGGTCTGGGTGGCCCCTTCGTTCGCTTTAATGAAGGTAGAGACATCTGAGCTGGCCACCGCAGCCCAAGTAGTAAAAGTAAAGTTGATCTTCAATGGCACCCCCATCCCATTTTCTTTCCCTCCCCCCCCCTCTTTCTTTCTTTCTCTTTCTTTTTCTTTCTTTCTTTCTTTCTTTCTTTCTTTCTTTCTTTCTTTCTTTTTTTTTTTTTTTTTTCCTACTTATTCCCCATCACTTCTCTTTGGCCTTACCTCTGGACAAACTCCTTTCCCAAATCAGAATCCACCTTTGGGCTGTACTGTCACCGTGTCATCAGTGGTGTTTTCTGACCCTCACAATCCACTGGGCAGTCGCTGTGGCTCAGGCTCTTCGGTGGAGCTGTGGGGAGTCATGCCCCATTAGCTACTGCTCCTGGGAACAAGTCCCAGCCCCGCTCAGGCATCTCCATAGACTCCCCCACGAGCCCCAGGCAGCCTGGTACAGGGAAAGACCAGCAGTTTGGGATCAGGCAGGACTGATTGAAACTCTGCTTTGCAGTTTACTGTGTCAGATTCTGGGCAATTTCACCAAGTTTCCAAGCCTCACTTTCCTCTTGGTGAGATGGTTGTAAGAGTTCCTGCCCTAAATCACCCCAGGACCAGGTAACAGACAACCAGGGACCACACCGAGGCTCACAGAAATTATTCAAATTAGTTAATTCTAGGCTTGCTCAGCTTGCCCACCCGGCCTCACCCATTCCTTCCCATAAAAATCATAACGAAGGCTCTGCCCGTGCTTTCCCCTCACTCTTCCTGCACCGCTCTGGTGCTCCTCCCATGTGGTCCTAAGTGGCATGGTGTGCCCCCTTTTCTTGGGAATTGTATGTAATAAGCCTTTTTAAAAGACAATGTCTTCCTGTCTGTCACTATCCACGACTGAAACAAATTCCAGGTATGTATGTATGTATGTATGTATGTATTATTTATTTACGTATTTATGTATGTATGTATTTTATTTACTAGTTGCCCAGTGCACGAATTTATGCGCCATGAAAGGAACTGTGGGCCATGAGGCTGTGATGGGCACAGGGGTGGGTCTCAGCCCATCCTCTGCACCCCCACCTGGCCCCTCATGCCACGACCCCTAGTCCCCTCTCTGCCAGCAGCCACACTACTGCCACTCCTGCTGCTGCCACTCCCATGCACTGACAGCACCAGCCCTGCTCGCACCCACAGACAGCATGGAGTAATTGGGGCCAGCCCCATCAGTAGGTGCAAGTGGCGGCTGCTGCCCGATCACCCCTCAGGAGCAGGGGGAGGTCGAGAAGCCCTCAGGTGTGACCAGGTGCTGGCAGTGGGTGTGAGCAGCAGTTCTGGCGCTGGCTGCGGGAGCAAGTGGGGCTGGCGCTGGCAATGGGTGTGAACAGGACCATGACTCGCAGGAGCAAAGGATTTTCAGTAACTACCACAGGCTCACCCAGATGACAGCGACCGGTGCCCCACCTTGGTCTGGAGCCCCTGCTCACCTGGTCCACCATCCCACCACAACCGACACCCACCATGTTCCATGCACATCCCCTGGTGGTCAGTGCACGTCATAGTGACCAGTTGTTCCAGTTGTTCTGCCATTTGGTCTATTTGCATATTAGCCTTTTATTATATAGAATTTTTTTGTTGTTGTTAATCCTTATCTGAGGATATTTTTCCATTGATTTTTAGCGAGAGTGGGAGAGGAAAAGTCAGAGAGAAACATTGATGTGAGAGAAGCATACCAACTGGTTGCCTCCTGCACAAGCCCTGACCAGGGCCTGGGCCAGGGAGGAGCCTGCAACCAAGGCAAGTGCCCTTGACCAGAATCAAACCCAGAACTCTTTGTTCCACGGGCAGATGCACTACTCATTGAGCCAAACCAGCTATGGCCCAGGTATGTTTTTATTTTATTTTTTTTATTTTTTTAATATATTTTATTGATTTTGTACAGAGAGGAAGGGAGAGAGATAGAGGGTTAGAAACATCGATGAGAGAGAGTCATCGATCAGCTGCCTCTTGCACACCCCCCACTGGGGATGTGCCCCCAACCAAGGTACATGCCCTTGACCGGAATCGAACCCAGGACCCTTCAGTCCCCAAGCCGACGCTCTATCCATTGAGCCAAACCGGTTTCGGCCCAGGTATATTTTTAAATGGAGGGTATTCTTAAGTCTGCAGACCCTCATTTGGGAGAAGGCAATGGTTAGGAGCAGGGGGACCCAAAGAGGGGAGGAGCTCTGTCTGGTGTCCCCAGCACCCAGGGCAGTGAGTGAGTGAGTCCTCTAAACGTAGGACCTCTCACCAGGGCCGTGCTCATGGCAGCTCAAAACCAACTTCTAGACTTTCAGGAATTTTGTGAATCGGTTGTTAAACTGTTGGTAGCTTGAAACCAGCCACAATGACAGTATTTATACCACAGAAGTCTACACACCTGCATGTGACAGATCAGGACTTTCCCCATCACCACCTGCTAACACTGTTAAATGTTTACGTCTGATGAAAAACATAAACCGATGAACAAAAATAGATCCAGAGACGTAGAAGCATTGAACAGACCGTCAAACCTCAGAGAGAAAAGGGCACGGTAAGAGGTCAACCATAGGACTTGTATGCATGCATAGAAGCATACCCAATGGACACAGACAGTAGTGGGGTGAGGGCCTGTGCTGGGAGTGGGAATGGGCAGGGAGAGTTCAATGGGGGGAAAAGGAGACATGTAATACTGTCAACAATAAAGAATTTAAATTACAAAACAATGTTTACATGTGTACCACTGCCTCTAATGTCTTATCTGCTTCTCCATTTGTACTGGAAAGGCAGAGCGAAAGGGAGCGTTTCCCGCTGGAGCTGCTCTGCAGCCCACTCCCAGGACCAGAGGACACTGCCCAGGATTGGTGTTGACCCTTCCATCATACTCCACACAAAGGACCCCAGGTCTCCAGAGAGACCTCATTTCCCTGCCGGACACTTCTCGTCCCCGGTGCCCCAGCCTGGGTCAGCCCAGTCCCCCAGATGCTGAGCTGGAACTGCCAGGTGTGTCCGTGTGGGACCAGTAGACCCTAAGCATGGCCACACCAGGAAGAACTCACACCCAGTCCTCATGCGGCCAGATGGGGGAACTTCCACTCCACCCTCCAGTGGGAAAACCATGCGAGAAACATCTAGGTCTTCTCCAATGGGAGCGCTTGGCAAAAAAAAAAAAAAAACCAAGGGTACGCAGGTGGGCCCTCGTTTCTCTCCCAGCTGTGCCCACCACCGAGCAGGCAACCACTGATGGGACAGCTGGTGTCCTCAAAGGCCTCCCACCCAGCTCAGCTCAGCTCAGAAGTAACGCTCAGCTTATGGTTGGGGCCCATGATCACCCTCCCTCTGCCACCTGCGCCTTTCAAGTGTTTCAGACTCAACAGGCAGGAAAAGGAGCCCCTAAAACCTAAGCCATCTGAGGCCCCATCCAACCTTACCCTTTCACATCCTCTTGCTTACCCCTTGTTCCCCCAACCACACGGACCTTCCTCCAGTTCCTGGAACATGCCAAGTTCACCCCCAGCTCCGCATCTCTGCCTTTTTCATTTTCCTCAGTGCTTCCCAGGGCTGGTTCCTCCTGCCCTCTCAGGTCGTGGCTCAGAGGCCACTCTACGAAACATCCGCCTCCCTCATATAACCCTGGTTTATTGTCTGTGTTTCTAAAACTGTGCATGTGCTCACCTGTTTATCACCTGTCCCCTCAGGCCTTATCCGTTTGGTTCACTGCTGTGACCTAGCACCTAGGACTGCAAAATTGCAGAGGCTTAGAAATGTTTGTTGAACAGACTGTTTTGGGGATAGGGGAAAATGAGTATTTTTCTTTTTTCTTTTTCTTTTTTTTATGGGGTTTTATTTTTTAAACCAAGGATATTTTTCCATTAATTTTTAGAAAGAGTGGAAGAGAGAGAGGGAAAGACAGAGAAATATCAATGTGAGAAGCACATCTATTGCACACATTCTGACCAGGAGCCTGTAACCGAGGTGCTTGCCCTTGGCCGGATCGAATCCGGGACCCTTCATCCCCAGGTCAACACTCTAGCCACTGGGCTAAACCAGCTAGGGCAAGTGTTTTTCTTCAATAGTAAAATATAGATTATGAAAAACTTGAAAATATAGAAAAATACAGTTTAGAACCTTCTTTAACATTTTGATCACAAAAGACAAGTCACACCTGCACTTTCTCCACGCATGTAGGTATAATGGTGGGGGGGGGGGGGGTGCACATGTAGACAGTCCTTCCAGGCTCCTCAGGGCCCCCGATTCCCGACCACATTCTTGTACACCCATCCCATTTCTGAGGACCGCCCTGAGAATGACCCTTCGTTGGAGACCTCTGGGGCTCAGTAAAGTGTAAGGCTTTGCAACGTAAGCATGAGGTAACGATGGTCTTCCCCATTTCCAGATGTGGGGACCAGACTGGCTGCTGTCACAGAAGCCACACAACTGACAAACAATTCCAATTGTCTAGCAGTGCCAAGGCCTCATTTCTCCCTACCTTTGGCCTTCAGGGCATCTAGCCTAATTGCCTGCCCTCTGCAAGGTGCTTGCTCATTAATGAAAACTAAGATGGTTAGGGACGGGTGGTGAGTCACAGCCACCAGTCCGTAGACTCCTTGGGACAGGCCCTGTTGATGACCAGACAGTGGGGCAGGCCCTCACACAGGATCCTCTCCACCTCGGGACCCTCCCACTCCAGCCCCTGCAGCTCGAGCACCCTGAGCTTGGGCATGCAGCTGCAGGAGGAGATTATTTCAGCCAGGGAGAGCTTTTCCAGGGTGCCGTGCGGGGCCTGCAGGCACAGGCTCTCCAGCGCCGGCATTCCCTCCAGGGCAGACAGGCCGATGGCTGACAGGCCCATGATGGTGAGCCGGATCTTCCGCACATCACGGAGGTGGCGGCTGATGGCCAGGAGGGTGTTGTCGGCCGAGAGGACACAGCCCAGCACCTCCAGCCTCTGCAGGTAGCTCAGCTCCTGCAGGCTTGCATCCATCCCGGCCTCGGTCACCCGGTACGTGCCGCCCAGCACCAGTGAGCGCAGGGCGCCGAAGCACGTCAGGCCCTGCAGGTGCTCGTCCCGAAAGGCAGGGACGCGGTCCAGCACGAGGCACTCGAGCAGGGGCATCACGGTGTGGTCCTGCCCCTTGAGGAGCCAGGCCATGGAAATCTCACAGCTGTGCAGCTCCAGGGTCCGCAGGGTGCAAGGCAGGCTGGTGATCGGCAGCATGCTCAGATCAGCGCTGTGCAGGCAGAGGCGCTGGAGGTTGGGGCATTTCTGGCCCAGGGCCCTCATCAGGGCTGGGGACAGCTGGGGAGCCTGGGAGCCTGCGGACAGGTAGCCACACAGCCGCAGGGAATGGAGCCTGGATGCCATGTACCGGCGAAGGAGGTGCCACATGACTTTAGGCCGCATCTGTAAGAGCCAAAGATAGGGGTGATTAGGAAGTGAGAGACACAGGGAATCTTTCAAGGTCCCTGCCCAACTGGAGTCAGACAAGCCCCCGCTGGGGTTCTCCTGCTCCCCTAGAATCGTCCTTCCACCATCAGCCTCGCCCGATCAGACACCTCTCTGGGGCGGGGGGGGGGGGGAAACTCCACTGCTTTGACTCCAAGAATTGAACAAAAGCAATAAAGGAAAGAGGTCATAACAAATCGGTCTTTAGCAACAGAGTGGATTCTCATTATGTTCTGGAGTAAAACAGCAAAGCAACCCCCCGAGTTTTTCTCTCTTTTTTAATGACCACCATGGAGAGAAGCAAGCAATGTAAAATAAAACTGAAAAAGGCTAAAACTGCCCAGGGTGCATTAGGTCTAGGTTTTAAAAAACCAAAACAAAACGCCATAACCTGATAATAGCGAAAGCTGTCAAAAATGTATCCTAGCAAGTTAGATTTAGTAGAAAACAAACAGATAAAGGGCCCGGATCAGGCTGGTTGGCTGCTGCCGCGAGTGTCATAGCCATCCCTCATTCCACCGTTCTGGTCTCTGGGCTTTCTTATCTCTCTCTCTCTCTCTCTCTCTCTCTCTCTCTCTCTCTCCCTCCCTCCCTCCCTCCCTCCCTCCCTCCCTCCCTCCCTCCCTATCTCTCAAATCAATCTTTAAAAAGTAGTGTGTGAATAAGGCTAATTGTGGGTCGATACAAGTAAAATAGCATTTAATAATCTAAACAGTAGCAATAGCATTATCTAAATTTTAGAATCACATTAACAATACTGCATGTTGCTAATGGGCACACACATAGGAAGTGAATAAAAACGCCAAAGGCCACAATTCCATTTTAGAAGAGTGGTTTCCTCTGAGGAGGGTTTCAAAAAAGTGCAACAAGCATATCAACAAATGTTGTGTGTATAATGTATGTTTCACATGACCTGCAGTAAATGCGGCCAAAGGCTAAAACAGGGTAAGTCTGGGTGGTGACTACCTATTTACCTGAAACCATGTTACCCTCTATACATTTCTATATACTTGAAATAGTTCATCATAAAAACAAGAAAGGTAAGATGCAAATGACAGAAAGTGGAAATAGCTGGGTTGCACTACTCAGGAAGTTAATTATGGAAAATGATTTCCCCATGAAGCCTCGGTAATAATAATCCTAAGTGATAACCTCATCACCAGCCAGCACTTATCATGTGCCGACTCTGTGCACTCAGACTTGGCCAAGCCCATTCCCCCGCACCGTCTCGGTCATTTACATTTTGGAGATGGGGAAACCGGCCGGGAAGGTTGCAGAGGAGCGAGTAAAAGCGACACGACCGGGTGGCGTGCTCCCCGGAGCGTCTGGGCTCGAACCGCGCGCGGCCCGGGCCCGCCTGGCCTGCCGCACTCACCCGGTAGACGGTCAGGTCGACGTGTCGCCACAGCCACCGGTCGTCCACCAGCCTCCTCCAACGGTGACAGACCCTGCGGGGGGAGACCGCCGTGAGCGCAACCCCCACCCCGCCTCGCCCTTCGCCCCCCGCCCCCCGCCACGGCGGGGCGAGGCCGCACCTGGAGAGGCGAACCCGGTCCCGCACCGGGAGGTAAGAGAAGATCTCCAACAGCACCGAGTCCGGCAGGTCCGAAAGAGCCGCCATGCCCCGCCGACTCGCATTTCCTCTTCTGGCGACCGGCCTCGCCCGGGGGCGCCCCCGGAGGCGGGGGGAGTGGGGTGCCGGCTGAGAGGTCGCCACGGCTCCGGTAGCGGTGGAGAGGGTTAGCCTTCCTTCTGGGGAACGCGCGTGAGTCCCTGCCGAGGACCTGCCCCGCCGCCTAGGAGCCTTCAATTTCAAACCGGAAACAAGCTGGGAAGGCGTAGCTGGGCCGCGTGACGCAAGGGGGCGTGGCCGAGGCGGGGGACCAATCCGGAAGGCGTGGCCAGGACGGGGGCGGGGACGATGGGCGGGGCGGGGACCAATCCGGAAGGCGTGGTTAGGGCGGGGCGGAGCGGGGAGCACTCTGACCACCAGGGGGCAGCTCCCGCATTGAGCGTCTGTCCCCTGGTGGTCAGTGCCCGTCATAGCGACTGGCCCTTCCGCTTGCACATTAGAGTTTAAGTATAGGCTAGTCTGCACCGCAGGTGTCCCCGGGCGGCAGAGCCATAGCCGGAGGGAAGGCCCAGCCCTGAATGAAGACAGGGGCCCCCGGGATGACTGCAGGGCTCGGCAGCGGCAGGTGTCACCCGGGCCCCTCTAGGGTGCCCACCCACTGACGGTGTCTCCGCACAGCGAATGGCGCCTCCACCAACGAGCTGGGCCCCGGCCTCTGACCTCTGACCCTCCCTCCACGGGGCCGACGCCCCCATTCGGCCCGCGCACCAACCGCCAGGGACCCCCTGCCCAATCTGGAGTCCCCAAAGCCGCGCCGGCCCATATTACCAGGCTCCGAGGAAGGGGCGGGCGCTTTAGGCTGCGCACTTCCGCTTCCGGTTCCCAGCGCAACCTCCGGCCCCGGCTTGGCTGTCGAGCGACTAGGCTGTGGCGTCGGCGGGTTCCAGGCGATTCGAGGTGAGGAGTCGGGTGGGGCGGTCGGTCCCGAGTTGGAGAAAGCGGACGGCCTCCGGCCATCGACGGCCCAAGGGCCCGGAGCGGGGAGGCGCGGCGGCCTGGGCTCCGCGGTCCCGGGACACGGAGCTTGGGGCCCCGGAGGACGGGGGTCTGAGGAGGTGGGAAGACAGCGTAAGTTTCCACCGGAGGTCTTGGGGTGCGGGAGCCCCTTAACGTGCTGACTTTGTGGCTTCGGACAGGATGATCGAGGTTGTTTGCAACGACCGTCTGGGGAAGAAGGTCCGCGTGAAGTGCAAGTATCCTCCGGAGGCGGGGGCGCGGGGGGCGGGGGGCCTGGCCCGGGCCGCTGGGTCCGTGCTGGAGGGGGGGCGGGTGGGGAGCCGGCAAGTGCCGTTAGCCCTGCAGTGTCCTCCCACCACCCCGCACCGTTTCCCTTAACTCCTCTGCGCCAGCACCGATGACACCATCGGGGACCTGAAGAAGCTGATCGCAGCCCAAACGGGGACCCGTTGGAACAAGATCGTGTTGAAGAAGTGGTGAGTGCCGTGACCGAGCGGGGGTCCGGGGTTCGGGGACCCAGGGACCAGGCCGGAGGTCTGGGTCGGGGTCGTGAAGACCGCCTTAGGTTTCTGTCTGAAAGGTGTCTGTCCCGCAGGTACACGATTTTTAAGGACCATGTCTCTCTGGGGGACTGTATCCTTTGTGTGATTTCTTGAGGAAAGGGCTCCACGCCGCGTCCTGGGTCTGTCAGAGACTGTGCTCATACGGTGTTGAGCCAAGTATGGAGCACGTGGTAAGCATTTGGACAATGCCAGTCATGTATGTCATTATTTCGCTGGGGGAGGAGGGTGGCTGGTTGGTGAAATATTTTGAGGCTTAGAAGACACTTCTAAGGAGGTCGGGGTGGAGTGAGACTCCGCCATGTCTCTGATGCAAAAGGAGCTGATGCAAAAGGAGCGTGACACGTTACAGTGTGTTCTTTCCAAATCAAAATGACCCAGTCCCTGATGGCTTCCTTGGTCCTGGCTGGAGCCAGCAGGCCCCCCGGCCCAGCTGGGAGAGAGGAAAGGGTGGGGGTCCAAGCCACAGTGAAGGATTCCTTAACACCTTCACTTCAGATGAAATCCATGATGGGATGAACCTGGAGCTTTATTACCAATAAAGCGGAATTCCTTCCTCGCGCCCTGTCCCCCCTCCCCTTCTCTCCTGCGCTCAGCTCCAGCACTAGTACGGATGCTTGTTTTTAAAAAAGTCATGTTAATAAAAACTTAGAACAGCTTCATTGTTGTCATCTTTGACTGAGGCCTGTCTGATGAGGGAGGGTTGGTGTCTGGCTGTCACTATACTCTCAGTGCCCAGCTGCTCATTAAGACTGACTGGATCCGTGAGGAAGAGCAAGCCAGGAGACCCGGAGCCTGTGTGGGTTTCTGGAGGGCAAGAGATCCCCAGATTATTGTCACCCTAAGAGGCCCAGGGCCCTCTGGATAGGGTCAGTTAGGAATACAGGTTCTGGATTGAGACAGGCTGTGGGTGGAATCCCAGCTCTTCACATTGACAACGACCTCGGCAAGTTGCTTGATCTCCCTAAGCCTTCATTTCCTTTTCCAAACTGGAGCTGATAGTTCATGGTCGTGTTGCAAAGTGTAGATGAGATAAGATGAGGGTTAGCACCTGTGGGGATCCGGCAGGGCCAAGGCATACTCAAGCCCCAGGGCGCCTTATGCACTGCGCCAGCTCAGCCAGGTTCAGTGACCCGGGAGGGTGCGGTGAAGGATTGAGAAAAGACAGACAAGAGACTGAAAGCTGGTACTCCCGGCTGGGGACCCAGCAGCGCCACGAACTACAAGCCGATGCCAGGAGGCAAAGTAAGGGCGTGGTCAACATGTTGACAACATTCTTGTGGGTTTCCATCCCACTCAGTTACATGTACCTGATCAAGCTTTGTTTATTTGCAGCCTTTATTAAGCACTTGGGGCTACATGTTCAGAACATAAGTTCACGCTGTGCCCTCTTGTTAGTCCAAGGCTTGAACCTGTCCAAACACTGTAACCACACCCCACAAGCACCTACAATTCTTGGCATTTATGAAATCCTAGTGGACAGGGCAAAACAGTGTGGCATAGGCTGAATTTTGACTGATCATTAGTAGTTGGATTTGGGGTAGTCAGCTTCTGTTGCTCTTCAATTTCCTGTGCCGCAGACTCCAGCAGGTCTTCGCTGCAGCACTCCTGAAGATCTCTCCCCCCCCCCCTGCCTCCCACCCTCCATCTCATAGCAGACCAGACATCCTGCCCTACCTGGCCACTCCATGCCTGGAGCAGCTTTGTGGCCACCATCTTTGGTCTTCTGATTTGCATACTCACTCTGATTGGCTGTGGGCATAGTGAAGGTACAGTCAATTTACATGTTTGCCTATTATTAGGTAAGACTAGAGGCCCGATGAATGAAACTCATGCAAGAGTAGGCCTTCCTTCCCCTACTGCTGGCACCAGCTTCCCTCCAGCATCCAGGAACTCGGAAGGCCCCGCCCACCTGCCTCAGGCCTGTCAATGGCCTGGGCCTCCCTCTGCGGGCGATCAAACATTGTTTCAGCCTTAGCCAGTTCCAGTGATTAGAGCGTTGGCTTGAGGACTAAAGGGTCCCACACTGGGGATCTGGTCCAAAACCAGTAGCCCAGCCAGGGTGGCTCAGTGGTTGAGTGTCAACCTATGAACAAGGAAATCATGGTTGGATTCCCGATCAGGGGATATGCCTGGATTTCGGACTAGATCCCCAGTGTGGGGCATGCAGGAGACAACCAATCGATGACTCTCTCATCATTGATGTTTTTATCTCTTCCTTGTCCTTCCTCTCTGATATCAATAAAAATATGTTGTTGTTTTTAAAGTTACAAGTAAAATGAGGCAGGAAAGGTGGAAGGGTGTTGTTAGAATGAACCTGTGGGACTGGATGAGAGTTGGAGGCTTCAGTGTGGACGCATGGTTTTTATTTCCTATGTATATAGACATGCAGATATGTGTGTATACATATATTTTCTTGCTTTTTCCACTTAGAGGGACCAGAAGCAGTGACACCCCAGTGCAATGAGCATGTCCAACACCCAGATCTTTGTTTCTAACCAACATTCTCCAATGAAAGGAACTAGAGCTTCTTGGGGAAGTGATTGGTTCTAGAGCGAGGGCAGGGAAAATACAAGCTGGGCATGGAGCATCTAGTGGCGCCAGGAGCTAAGAAGTGCCAAATAAAAAGGATGGAAGCATGTTGAAAGGGCACAGTCTCAAAATATCCCTCAAAAGTATTATTGTAATAGTAAGTTCAGAAATTGCCTTAACCAAGTGGTCAAAGTTAATATCGCAACTGTCATAGGCAGCCTCTACAATGGCCCGTAATTCACATCCTTGTGTAATCCCTTCCTCTTGAGTACAGGCTAGGCCTAGCTTCTAACAAGTACAGCATGGCAAAAGTGGTGGGATATCACTTCTGAGATGAGGTTGCAAGGAAACTCGCTTCTGTCTTGCTTTCTCACTCGTTCATTCATGAAAGCCAGCTGCTATGTTGTGAGCTGCCTTATGGAGAGACCTTCAACAAAGAACTGCAGTCCTCAGACAAACATCCTATTAGTACTTGAATCCTGCAAGCAGCCACCTGAGAGAGCTTGGAAGTAGTTCCTGCCTCAGTCAAGCCTTAGACTACAGCCACCCCTGCTGACACCAGCTAAACTGTGCTTGGATTTCTGACCCAATAGAAGCTGTGAGAAAGTGTTAATCCACTAAGTTGTGAGATAAGTGTCACTGCAACAATAGATATCTTAATACAACCAGGAACACATTGCATACCGGGTATGATGCACTGAGGTTATATTATCTCTGGGGTATCTTTCCTAAAAATGAATAACCTCAATCTAATCATGAGAAAATACCCAACAAACCCCATCATGAGAAAACATCAGCATGGGCATTCTGCTATTCAAAAGTTTCAGGATTGTGTAACACAAGGAAGACCTAAAAAAAAATTGTCACATGTTGGAAGAGACTAAGGAGATGTGATGATGTGGATTCAAGTCTTTTAAACTGCCCTAGCTGGTTTGGCTCAGTGGATAGAGCATCAGCCTGCAGACTGAAGGGTACTGGGTTTGATTATAGTCAAAGGCACATGCCTGGGTTTCAGGCTCAATCCCCAGGATGGGGCATGCAGGGAGCAGCCAACCAATGATTCTCTCATTGATGTTTCGTTTCTATCTCTTTCCCTCTTGTCCTCTCTGAAATCAATTAAAAAAAAAATTTAAAAAGAGTAACGTACCAATGTTGATTTCTTTTTTCAATGTATCTTTATTGTTGAAAGTATTACAGATGTCCTTTTTATTCTCCTATTAGCCCCCTCCACACTGCTGCCATCCCCCATGTTGATTTCTCAATTTTGATAATTATGGCAGAGTTTCTCAGCTTTGGCACTGGTGGCATCTGGGGCTGGATAATCCTTTGCTGTGGGGGATGTGCATTGTAGATATTTAGCAGAATCTTTGGCTTTACTCACTAAATAAAATGCTAGTAACAGTGCCTCCCAACTCCACCTATTTGTGACAACCAAAAATGTCTTAAGACATTATCAGATGTCCCTTGGGGAACAAAATCACCTGGTTAAGAACCTCAATTCTGTTATTAGCATCTGCTAATACAAGGTAAGGCTGGGTGAAGGGTATATGAAATTCTGTTTTCTATACTAAAACACTTATACTACTTCTGTAACTCTGCCCTAACTCTAACATTATATATTTTAAAAGATTATTATGCTAATACATGCTCGTAAAATAAATCAAAATGGCATTATTTAAGTTGTTCATTTCTTCATCTCTATCACCAGTGGTAGTTATAACATATTTGATTGAATCCAGAAATTTTCTGTGATATAAATCTATAGTTTTTACACCGTTAATTATACATATTCTAAAACTGATACTGTTCATTAGCTTGCTTTTTTATACTCTTAATGCTTTGATATATTTCCATAGGTGATGTCATTAAGTAATTTTTTCATTTGTTATGCCTTTCTACATACTATAATGGCTATGCTGTACTATGATTTGCTTTTTTCCACCCAGAAAATACATCCCTGCTATGTATGGGCCAGGCTCTGTTTTGAGTGCTTTACATAAATTAACTCATTTACACTTTACATCAAAGATATGCACGAAATATTATTTCTTACCCTCACTTTTTCAGGTGGGAAAGCTGAAATGCAGAGGTTAAGTAATTTGTTCAAGGTCACAGCAAATGGTAGAGCCAGGCTTTGAGCTAAAGCAATCTGGCTCTTAAGTGCTCTTAACCTTCTACCGAATCCTGTCTCTACTTTCTTGTGAACATGCTGCCCTCCTTTTCACTGTGCCTCATTCTTTTTAGTGATCACATGAGGGCCCATGCTGTAGATGGACTATAATTGAACTTTCCTGTTAGTCTCTCTTACTTCCATATTTATCTCCAACCACCTCCTCCGTGTCCCATGGACACCACAGACTCCATTTTAAATGGACTCAGATTGAACTCATCCTCCTCCAACCTTCGCCTCTTTCTATGTCCCCATCTGAGTGGCAATGCCAACATCCACCAGTCATCAGGTTGGAGGCAAGAGCCAGTTTGAGAGGGAATAAGTGATGGTGTTTGGGTCAGTGGCACAGGCCAAGGGTTAACTTTGCCCAAAAAATAAAATAAGGGTTAGACTTGAACATCTGAAGGAAAGAGGGAGGATGGAGAAGCCAGATTTAGGCTTTGGGTTATTTGATGCTTATCACCAAGGCAGCTGCTTGCTATGGCAATAGTAAAGACAGCACCGCATCTCCCAAGCATCTGGTCGGCTGCCCTTTTACCTCCGCACTGGCTAAGACACTTCCGTCAGGTGGGCTGCGGCCCTCCGGAAACGGCTTAGGAAGACGGAAATTGCGGCTGCAGTAGCCAATCGGATAGGCTCTGTGGCTAAGGACGCCCAGGAGGGATGGGTACTTCTTTGAAGCTTGCAAAAGGGAGTTGAGAAGTCGGGAGTGCATCCCTTCCTCACCAGAGGCTCCAGGAGAGCAAGGAGGCGGGGCCCAGGTGAAAAAGGGTGGGGAGGATACGCCCTCTTTCGCTCTTGCCCAATAGAAAGCCAATTAAGATGCCCAATGGGGGTCGCCGCCAGACCGCGCCCCACCAATAGGCGGCCGCGCTGGGCGGGTGCGGGCGGCGGAGGCGGGGCCGCGGGGGCGGAGCAGGCGCTGCCGCAGGAGGGAAGATGGCGGACGAGGAGAAGCTGCCCCTCGGCTGGGAGAAGCGCATGAGCCGCAGCTCAGGTGCCACGGGGGTCCGGGCTGGGGCGGGGCCGCGCGGGTCTGCGGGAGCAAGGCTCGAGCTCGCCCTCGGGCGCGGCGCCGCCGCCCTATTCCCGTGGGGTCTTGGCTCCGCATCCTCCCGGGTAACGGCCCCGGCCCGCCCCGTGGAGGCTTCGAGCCTCTGGAGCCGGGAAGCGGGAGGAAACAGGCGGGGCCGGGGCCGGGCCCGGGAGGCCCAGCGCGTTGCGGGGCGGCGGGGATTCCTCCAAGCGATGGCCCTGGTCCTGCGGACCGGGCTGACCCCTTCCGGCCTCATGCACCTGACCTCGCCGGGGAACTCCTCTGCACCCCGCTGGTCCTGGGGGTCAATCTCTGGGGGAGAACACCCGAAGGCCATGCTTCTTAGGGTGTGGCCCCAGGGTTTGCCCCGGCCTCTGATGCACAACCCACTCCTGCCACCACTCCTGCCACCCACGCCTAATGCTGAGCCCCTGTTCTTGGGTCCCATGTAAGGCTTATCCGTAGTCATGTCAACAACAGGGTACTTTTATTAGTTGCAGGCATTGTGCCAAGCGTTTTTAAGTGTCTTCTCTGAATGGCAGTCATCACCCCCATTTTGCAGGTGAAATAACTGAGGCCAGGAAAATGAAGGAATTTGCCCAAAGTCATTCATATTTCTGGGAGGCGGGGCCTGAGGGCTCCAGAGCCCCATGCCCTTGTCACTGCAAACTGCAGAGCACCAGGCCCTGCATCTTGTTCCACCCCTTCATTGTCCATAGCTGCCATCGCCGCAGTGACAACTGATGAGCACTTTGCATCCCTCATCATGGACTCTCCACATTAACCCCTTGAAGTTTGATGGCCTCATCTCTCACTTCCCCGCCACTTTTCAAAGAGATAGAGTCCATTACCAAGGTTTTATAGACCTTCCATGGCTCAACTCTCACTCCCCTTGCTCCAGCCTGGCCTGTGGCTGTGACCTGGGCCATAAAGCTGACGCTCTGCTCAGCTCTGGCCCCCTTCCCCCAGTTCTGTCATTCCTGCTTGGCGTGTCCCTGACAGTCCTTAAGGTGACATCCAGCCCTTCACAGAGCTGGGTACAAGTCCCCCATGTAACCCAGGCACACTCTGGGCCCATGGAATGACACCCCCTTTCTACCAGGCCCCTCCACTTCAAGTTTCTTGTGTGCCGTGTTCACTCCATGCTCCTCAGTCGCTGAGTAACATCTGGCCCCTCGTCCAGCCCGGTACGCTGCAGGGGAAAGAGCAGAGTTTGGTGTCTGACACCCCTGGGTACGGTTCTTGCTTCCCTCCACAGTGAGCCTGGAGCAGAGTAATCGCTCGGGAAGCATTACCTAGTTTTGTCATCTATAAAAAGAGATAGTAATAGCGATCACCCTCTTAAAGGCGTGCCAGGAGCCATCCTAAGCACTTGACAGATGTGAACTCATTCAGTCCTTACCCCAGCCCACCCAGGCAGGTACTGTTGTCATCTCCGTGTGACAGGTGAGAAAACCGAAGCCCGGGGAAGGTAGGTCATAACGGTGAGTAAGAGGCAGAACCAGGTTGGAATAGGTGGTCTGACTGCCGAGCGCATGCTTGGAGCCACTTCATCTCCCCGACCCTGGTCCGCCTCTGGGGCGGGGCTGGCTTCTCTGTTGTCACCCCGGCTCATTCACAGTTCTCAGTGACTAAGTTACCGTGTCCTGTTCGCTTCACTGGCGGCGATCCGTCCCCACCTAGAATGTTGGCTCCCTCAGGGCCTGTGGCATGCGGTGGACGCACAGTGAATGTGCTGAGTCATGGCATCTCTTAGGCCAGTCCCTTTTTCTGGCCTCAGGGGGGTGTCCTCCGGGCAGGCCCAGCTGAATATCCACCTCCTCTCCCTCCAGGCCGGGTGTACTACTTCAATCACATCACCAACGCCAGCCAGTGGGAGCGGCCAAGTGGCAACAGCAGTGGCAGTGGCAAAAATGGACAGGGGGAGCCTACCAGGGTGCGCTGCTCACACCTGCTGGTCAAGCACAGCCAGTCACGGCGGCCTTCGTCTTGGAGGCAAGAGAAGATAACCCGGACCAAGGAGGAGGCCCTGGAGCTGATCAACAGTGAGCAGAACTGGAGACAGGATCTGGGGGTGGAGGGGGGGCCTCTCCCTGAGGGGGCCAGAGCAAGCCTCGTAGAAATCACACCAGACCCTCTACCCCAGCCTGCTCGGCTGTGAGGCGTGGCGCTGGCTGACACAAAAGGGCCTTCACATGACGTGAGCCTGGCCCACATGCCCGCTCCTTGCTCTTTCCGTCTGTAAGAGCGGCTAGCAGATCCCTGTGAGCTCTGTGACCTCCCCGAGACTCAGTTTTCACCTCTGTAAAGTGGGCGTCGTCACACACCTGCCCCTGAGGGTCGTTGTGAAAGTTCAGTGAGATGAGACAGTGCACGGGGCCCGGGGAGCCCTCGGTCAGTGGGAGTGATTGATGATGCTGCCATGAGACAGGGTTCTGCAGTGCATCCAGGAGTGGGTCCGGAGGCAGGGAGGGAGATCGGGAAGGTACAGAACTGGCCGGCAGCTGGTAATTCATTCTGCCGGAGAGGAGGCTGTTGTGGCTCTGTTCTGTTTGCTCCGAGTCTGGAACAATGGTCGGCAAACTTTTTCTTAAAAGGCCAGATGGTAAATATTTTCGGTTTTAGAGGCCCAACAGTATCTGTAAGCTCTGCTTTGTAAAATGATATCATTACACAAAATGTAAACAAATGGGCGTGGCTATATGCCAATCAAACTCTGTTTACAAAAACAGCGAGCCTGTGGGTCGTTGTTGGCAGAGCTGTCCATTATAGCTGCCACTACCTGCATGTGCCGATGTCCACTTACATGAAGTAATGTTAAAAATCGGTTCTTTAGTCGTGCTGGCCACACTTCATGGCCAGGGCTGCCGTCTTGTGCAGTGCATTGTAAACATCTTCATCCTCGGGAGAAGCTCCTGTTGGACAGGGCTAACCTGCATCTCACCTGTGATTTCATCAGCCACTCAGCCTCTCCCACCAGAGACCCCAGACCTCTTCCTGGCTGCTCCTGCCCCACGTAACTGCCCCCTCATCCATGCCCAGACAGCCTGAGTTCCCGTCGGACTCTGCCAGGTCCTGGCTGTGTGACCTTGAGCAAGTTGCCTAACATCTCTGAGCCTTCATTTCTACCTGTAACATTGGTATTTATAAGAGAACCCACCTCCCAGGGCAGTTATGAGGACTCTGACCTAATACAGTAAAGCACAAATAACAGCACCTGGCACTTGGTTAACGTTCTATAATTACTCGCGGTGATTATGGTTGTTATTAGCACAGGCCTGGCAACGAGCACACAGCCAGTCAGTATTGGCTGTGCCTCACTATCATATCACTTGGTCCAGTACTTGCCTGGGAAGATATTACTCACACACATGCATACCCCCTCCCCCATATGGGGTCTGGCATGATAAATGACACCCGTTAGCCTCATGCCTCATAACATTATAGGGAGGATCTCAGTTCTTGCACAGAACCTGAGGCAGATTAAAAAACGCGCCTCCTGAGCTTCACCAGGGCAGGGACTGGATCTGCTCTGTTCCCCGTTTCCCTGCTACCCAGCACACAGCCAGGCCCGTGTGAGCCCTCAGCATTGTTCGTGGAGCAGTAGGAGGCAGAGCATTCCTGGCCGAGGACATGCCAGAAATAAAGGCCTGGCGCTAGGCTGTGAACGGAACTCTGGGAGGCTGTGCAGGGGACTGAAGAGGGACCGCATCCTTCGAGGGCAGGTCCTGGCCCGGTTGAGGAGGGCCCAGAGTAAGGCAGAGAGTTGGGGTCTCTCCTGGTCATTGCAGGAACCATGGCCAGGTGTGACCGGAGAGGGCCCTGCAGCGGTGTGCTTTCAGAATTGTGTGGCCGGAGGTGAGCGGCCAGGGAAGCCAGAAGGTCCAGCGGCCAGGTTGGCTGGGACCAACTCTGAGTGATGGGAAGGCGGGGGAAGGGGTGGGGGAAGGGGAGGAGATCTGACTGCCTCAGGGAAAGAGAGGAAACAGTGGAGAAAGCCATAGAGAGAATCTTGAGATGGCATCTTGGGTTCTCCCAGCTCAAGGGGTCCCTGTTCCAAGGCTTCTGGACCCTAAGACAGAAAGACATAACAAGAGGCGCCACCACTGGTAGAGAGGACTAGGAGAGAGATGCAGTCTGAGGAGGGACTCACTACATCTGGGGGCCTGAGGAAGAGACTGTGGGAAGGCAGCTGGGAGGGGGCTTGGGCTCAGCTGTCAGGCTGTGAGGATGCTTCCCCATCGCCAGGATGGGACAGGTGTGTGGTAGGGCTGACACTGTTGTGGGGCCTGAGAGTGCTGAAGTCGGCTCGGGTTTTGAGGAGGGTAACGTGGGAGCAGGTGCTCCCCGTAAGCAGCTGGGCCCCGGGGCCTAACCTTCAGTGGATGCAGACTGGGTTAGCAGGGGTAGGGCATGCCCACCTGTGCTAGAGGGCCTGGTGGGAGCTGTGGGAGGAATTGCAACTACAGATGATGGACTTGAACTTGGAGGTGGGTGAGAAGGGTGGAGCATATTCTAGAAAGATTAGGAGGCAGAATCCAGAGGAATCAGTGATGGATTAGATGGGTGGGGATGGGGTAAAGTCAGAACCATGTAGCCGGACCTGGAGTCACACAGAGATGGGTCCTGGTGTCAGTTGAGTGGCCTTCAGCAGTGTCTTCATTTTCAGAGCCTCGGCTTCCTTTTCTGTAAAGTGGGGGACAAGGTGGCCCGGAAGGTCCAGGGAGTACTCAGAAGAGCAATGGGCTCAGTGTCTGGCGCTCACTGTCTGTGTGCTGGAGCCTTGACCTCAGTCATTTAGGCGTGTATGGTGGGGGCCAAGGTCAAGACCAGGCCTTTGCTCTGCAGCCCCTGCAGCTTCCCTGAGGCTGATGGAAAGAACTCGGGCCCGTGGAGAGAGCCTTGGGCAGGGGGGCGGGAGCTGGCAGGCTCTGGGCAGACCCTCTGATGACCTTGGGCAGTGAGCTTCCTCTTCTGCCTCCGTGCCCTGAGACTCCGAGCTGGGGCCGGGGCGGTTAGGAGGGAGCAGTGAGACGCAGGCTGGTGCCATGACGGCGAGCTTGGGGCGTTTGGCTCCTTTTCCTCCTGTGGAAGTGAATGTTCCCCGTCGCGGGCTTGTTCCAGGTGATCAGGAGATGAGGATTTGGGCAGCACACTTTGTCGCTGGCAGCCGGGTCTGGAGGCTCATCAGTACCCATTTAGAGCCAGTGCTGCCCGTTGCCCAAGGGGACAGGCTGCCTGCAGGGAGAGCCAGTGCTTCCGCGTTTTCTGCTGACGCCCCTGTTCTCAGCGCGGCTCCTCTGCAGCTGCGGGGCTGTGGCCAGGAGCGATCGGAGATCAACTGCTGCCTGTAATCCCGGTGTCCTTGCTGCGGAGGCCAGGCCATGGAGAAGAAAGGGATGCAGGGCAGGTGGGGAGCTTCCCCGGGACCCTGTCCAAGGATCCAGGGTCAGTTAGAGCAGTGGTTCAGATCTTCCCGCCCTGGTCAGTGACTCAGGTCTCTCTGAGCCCTCTCTGCTGGGTCTTAGGACGTGTGGGATGACAGGACTAAACCCTCTTTCCCTTGTTTGTCTCCAAACCTTAGAGTCAGAGACCACCCTGTTTGTTCACTCACTTCCCTCAGGTAATGTGCTGTCATCACAAAGCCTGTCCTTGGTGTGTGCCCATGCGGAGAGAGACATGGACCTCTCCGGTGTCTCTCTCATAAGAACACTAGTTATCGGCTCCACTTAACCTTAATTATTTCTGTAAAGCCCCATCTCTCAATACAGTCACACTGGGGGTCGGGGCTTCGGCACTTGAATTGGAGCACACAGTTCAGTCCATATTGTGGGGACCGATAGTTAGTGCCTGTCAAGGGTTTGCTCTGGGCCAGCCCTGCCCCGAGGTAGGAGCTGCTGATTAGCCCATTTTTCAGGTCAAGAAAGTGAGGCTCCAAGAGGGAAAGTCACAGAGGTCAGGAGCAGGGAAGCTGGGATCTGAGCACAGCAGCTAAGGTTCCACGTCCACCCCCTGCGCCTCAGGCCTGTGTTGTGCCGGCAGAGGCAGAGGCTGTTCCGTTGCTCATCCTGTTTCAGGAGTCCTGAACTCCCCAAGCGGGCGGGAGGGGCCTGCTCCAAACCGGAGCTCCTGGCGAGGCTGCCTGGTCGGTCTGGCGCCCTGGCCCAGCCGGACCTCCGTTGGAGGGGGGCTGAGTGGGCGCTGTCTTGGTGACTGGTGTGGACGCAGTCAGGTGAGGCCAGGGCACGGAAAAGGCCAGGGCGTCTGGTTTGTTCTGTCTGTGTTGCCTTCTCTTTGGTATTTGGGCCCGAGGTTCACAGAAAAAGTAGGAGATTCCGGCATTTCTGCCTACAAAGCCCAGTGGTGGATCCCTCTCCCTCCTTCCCCGTGGCCTGTTTCTGTCTCATTTATTCATGAATTCCTTCAACATTAGTGAACATCTGCTCTGTATCGTGCCCGGTGCTGAGGACACAGCGGTGAGCAAGGCTGGCCCGGCCCCCGTCCTCCGGTACAAGGCGGGCCACAGAGGCGCAGGCGCACACAGGACAGTGTTAAACGCAGGGCTCGGGGGCACCTCGCAGAGCAGGGTCTCAGGAAAGGCTTTTTTTTTTTTTTTCTAATATATGTGTGTTTATTAATTTCAGAGAGGAAGGGAGCGATAGAGATAGAAATCGAAACATCAGTGATGAGAGAGAATCATTGATGGCTGCCTCCTGCACGCCCCCCACGGGGATCAAGCCTGCAACCGCGGCCTGTGCCCTGACGGGAATGGAACCCGGGACCCCTCAGTCCTCGGGCCGACGCTCTATCCACTGAGCCAGACCAGCCAGGGCTTAGGAAAGGCTCTTGAGGCGAGGGAGTTGTGGGCAGAAGACAGCAGGCCAGCTTCAAGTGGGAAGAGATGCCTGAGCAAGGATGGAATTTTGGGCACCGTCAAGGTGGCAGGCGGAGGGGGCTGAGGGAGCAGAGAGCAGGGTAGGACTGGGAGGGACACCCTGTGGGGCATAAGAGTGGAGATGAGGGGACACAGGAGTCTGAAGGTTCCCTTGCATCGTGGCTTGTGGCCAAGACAAACTCCTGAAGGTCAGCCTCCACAAGGTGAACTGAGGAGGGAAGCACTTTTTTTAAATATCATTTCAGGCTCCATCTGAGCAGAACGTTTTCTGAGAGAGCTGGCTGCTCGGAGGAAGATTTGGGTGCTTGAACTATGGGGCAGGGGGAGGTTAAAAGCTTGACTTTTGCCCAGGCCAGTGGTTATAGCATCGGCCCATGCACTGAAGGGTTGAGGGTTCCATTCCCGGTCAAGAGCACGCACTAGGGTTGCAGATTCAAGATCCCCTACCCAGTTGGGGTGCATGCAGGAGGCAACTAATCGATGCGTGTCTCTCACATCCATGTTTACCTCTCTCCTCCCCCCTCTCCCACCCTCTAAAAAGTCAGTGGAAAAACATCCTCAGATTAGGATTAACAAAAACAAAAAGCTTGATTTTTACCTGGTTTTCAGGCTGGCAGCGCCTGCTCACACACACACTGTGCTTCTTGGCCAGTCCCTGTAGTTATGCCCATGGCCAGCTGCTGGAGGATGCAGCCAGGTGGCCACAGTGACATGCTTGGAGTGGGCTCAGGTCTCGGCCTGGGTGCAGGTGCTGGGCATGTGCGGACAGTGTGCCTCTTTACGGCAGACAGGTACACACGCAGGGGGTGGTGCGCTGTGTGCTCAGGATCCCGGGCTGCAAACTGAGGTCCAGGCAGAAGAGAAGAGGAATCTTGGTGCTGCGAGGGGGAGGGCACGGAGATACCTGGAAGTCCAGGGAGGGGGAGGGGTATCCTAGTGACATCCGGTGCAGGTCAGAGTCACCTATGGATGCATGTGGCACAGAGGCACCGCCTAGCAGCCCCATGGAGGTGTTCCAACCACCCCAGGGCATTGTGGTCAAAAGCCACTGCATCTTGCAGGCAAGCGAGCGGGGCTTTTGTCGCACCGGTGAGTCTGCCCGAGCAAGCAACACCCCAGACCAGACTGAGGTGTGCCAGCGAGGAAGCCAGGGATGGGCAGGTCAGGGAGAAGCAGAGACAGCCTCATCCGGGATGTGTAACCCATAGGGAAGGGGGAATGGTGATAGCAAATGACACTTCTCAAGTTCTCACTCATGTCCGGCACTGTGTAGCATGTCACTGGTCTGCTAGTGAATGACTAACAATTCAGACTCGGAGGCAAAGGGATGGTGAGAACAAGACAGGAGTGACAGGGACATGGGGAAGGCAGGAGTGATGGCGATGGTCGTGGGAGCATGAAGCAGATCAGACACCAGGACACTGGTTGCTGCTGTGAGTTCAGAGAGACAGGTGATAAGCATACTGTCATGGGCATGCCATTTTATTATTTTATTATTATTATTATTATTATTATTTAATATATTTTATTGATTTTTTTACAGAGAGGAAGGGAGAGAGAGAGAGAGCTAGAAACATCGACCAGCTGCCTCTTGCACACCCCCTACCGGGGATGTGCCCGCAACCAATGTACATGCCCTTGACCGGAATCGAACCTGGGACCTTTCAGTCCGCAGACCGACGCTCTACCACTGAGCCAAACCGGCTTCGGCTGAGCATGCCATTTTAATGGGTCCCTGTAGATGGGTGACTGTGACCTTGAGGTCATACAGGAGTCCAAGAGAGCTGGCTGCTCAGAGGAAGATTTGGGTACTGTGAACTGTGGGGCTGGAGGCGGTGGGGTGGTAAAAGCTTGACTTTTTGCCTGGCCAGTGGTTAGAGCAGTGATTAGCAAACTGCAGCTCCAGAGTTTGCCGACCACTGAGTTAGAGCATCAGCCCATGCACTGAAGGGTCAAGGGTTCCATTTCCGGTCAAGGGCATACCTGGGTTGCTGAATTTTTGTTATATTTGTGTGGATTGGGGGAGAGGGATAAAGGCAGCAGGAGTTTAGGATGGATTGTGAGACCAGCATGGCTGTTGAGGTTACTGTAGTGCACATACGTGTGGAAGGCACCACTTCATGGGCTCCTGTGCCTCCAGGCGTGTGCAGGGAGAAGGCATTTGTGGCGGTGTTAGCCTGTGGGGGTGGTGAGTGTCCACACGTGCGTGCATGTGTGCGCGTCCACAGTAGAGCAAAGGTAGCACAGCCTCGTTCTGAGTGATGTGCCACCGCTCACCAAGCTCTCGGCCTGTCCCGCCCCTGACACTGTCTCCTGTGTGCTCATGTGTGTGTCCACAGGCTACATCCAGAAGATCAAGTCCGGAGAGGAAGACTTTGAATCTCTGGCTTCTCAGTACAGTGACTGCAGCTCTGCCAAGGCCAGGGGAGACCTGGGTGCCTTCAGCAGAGGTGCGCAAATAACGGGCACACCCAGCCCCGGGGGACCCTCAGGCCCTCCAGCCTGTGGAGCAGGGGTGGGAACCTTTTTCTGCCAAGGGCCTTTTGGGTATTTATGACATCATTCACGGGCCATACAAAATTATCAACTTAAAAATTAGCCTGTTAATGCTTGCTCAAACATTTAATTAGCTCACCCCAGTGCCCGGCAGGGCCAGGCCTACACCACGGGATGTTCCCCCGCCTGCTGTGGGGGATGGGCGGGATGGCCCTGCGGCACAGGCCTCAGTCCACCAGGTGGCAGCACAGTCCCTTCCTCAGGCTTCAGAGGCTGCCTTGCTGGTGAAGGGCAGGGATGACTGCAGAGCCTTCTCCCGAGTCATTCTCTCCCAGTCTGTGTTTCTTTGCACACTTTTCCCGGCACAGACCCCCAAGCTGCATTTTGCCTCTCCTCCAGCTGGAGGTATAAGGCAGGGCCCCTGAGAACCTCAGGGTGGTCTCTCATAACCTCTGCCCCTCCCTTACTGGTGGGGAACGAGGGCTGAGGGGAGGGTGGGTTGGATCAGCAGCTCTGAGTTTAGGGCTCTCTAGTTGGGGCCGTGGGAAGGGAGGAGCAGAGGGGACCAGCTGACCACCTCACCTTTGTCCTCCCTTCCCTCCACCCCCGAGATGCCCAGGATGGGGCGAGGGGTGTGGGGTAACCAAGGAGCTGCCGCCCACCCCAGGAGGCAGACGGGGCAGACAGGACGGATGATGTGGCAGGGGCTGGGAGCTGGGTCTAGGGAAACATTCATCACTAAAGTGCATCTCTAAGCACACAGCAGCAACAGCAGCTCTGCCTGGCATCCCTCATGCTGTCCTCAGGCTTCCTGGGGCCTCCTTAATGGCCCTGCCACCTCCAGCTGGGCTGCTCAGCACTGTGACAGGGCCATAAACCAAGTGACAGATGAGTGGGAGCCCCATCTGGCCATCCTGCCTGGTCCGAGCTTCTGCCGTATCCTGACCCCCACACTTCCTCCCTTACGCTTCTCCAGGTCAGATGCAGAAGCCATTTGAAGACGCCTCCTTTGCGCTCCGAACAGGGGAGATGAGCGGGCCCGTGTTCACGGACTCCGGCATCCACATCATCCTGCGCACGGAGTGAGGGGCAGGCGGCCCAGGCCTGGCCTTGGGGTGGGGCGGGGCAGGCAGGGTGGCTGGGCCCGGAGGCCCTGCGCACTGCTGCCAGCCGAGCATGGGTGCCTCTCCCTGCTGATGTCACACAGTATTTATTGCTCCCAAATGGCTAGGAGAGGGGCTGTCACCATTAGGGGCTCCCTGTCGGCCCAGGTTGGGGCTGTCCCCGCAGACTCCTCCCTTTGGAATTGATTCGGAAGGACAGCGGAGTGGGGAGGCTCCCAGAGCTCCAGACCCGGGGGCTGGGGTGACCTGTCCCAAAGGGAAGGCCTAGTCGGCTGAGCTGCCCCGCGTCCAGGATGGGGTGGGCGGGCCTTACATTGTTTCTGGTTATGCCGTGTTCCTCTATTAAATTGCAAAAAGCAGATGCTCTGTGTGGGGCCCAGGCTGCTGCTGCCGTGGGGCCCTCTGAGCAGCAGCGCAGCACCCGCACCCTCCATTAAACCTGGAACCACTGCTCTGCTGTCCTGTGTCTCATTTCCTCCCGCTGAGGGGAGCAGGCCCCTCCCGCCACCCTGGTGTCCAGCCTGCCTTTCCTCCCCGAGAAGCCTCCCATTCTGGGCCTCAGGACGGCCAGAGTGCACCCAGCATCCAGGCTCCGGGGAAGCGGGGCACGGTCAGCACCAGCGGTCCTCAGACCTGGGTGTTCCAGAATGCAAGGACCCTGCCTGGACCCCACAGCCCTGGACTCAGCCCTGGAGCTGGAGACAGGCAGGGGATCCTGGGAGAAACAGATTTAAGCCTCTGCCCTGGGTGCTCCCGGCACACTCCACAGACCACACCAGTTAGATGGGGAGGCCTTGTGCTGGAACGGGGTGGGCAGAGGGGGGAGGGGGGCTGTCAGAGCAGAGGGGATCCCTGTGGCTGATGGGAGAGGTGGTGGGCTCTCCCTCTTAGGGTGGGGATTGTGGGTGTGGCCTGCTCTCTATTCCTCAGAGCTGCCTCTGTGCCAGGGCCTGGGCTGGGGACTCAGTTCATGCTGGGAGTTATGGGCCTGTTAGGTGGTTATGCCCACTCCGCTGCCCCCTTAATGGGGACTAACCTGCATTGGGGATAGCAGACTGCCAGGGGTTGGGAACCTAAGCAAAATAGAGCCCTGACTGGCTTGACCTCAAGGGAGGCACAAGCCCAGGGCTGAGTCTCAAACAGTCACCTGGGCGGACTCCAATCTGGCAGGTTTCTGGAGCAGTTGCTGTCCGCCTGCGCCTGCTGGAGCACTTGTCATTAGGAAGGTTTAATGAGTTTCAGCTCTAGTGGGCTGGGGAGAGTCGGCTAGTTGGCTGCACCTCCTGGCAGAATCTTCCATCGCCTTCGGGGGCCACAGGCAGGCAGCAAGCTACCCCACTGTTTGTGTCAGCAGTTCTGTGGGGTCAGGGGAGCGGTCACACCCCTCCTGGCCCAGCGGTGCCCCTGGGAAGGACCAGAAGTGAGTGCTTGTGGGGCAGGAGGGTGTCTGAGTTCTGCTTTAAACCAGAACAGGCACTTGCCACACCAAAGGCCCAGAGGAGAGGTCCCTGGACTCCCGGTGGCTAAGATGCTGCAGGGAGGGTGGGGGGCTGTATTTCCTGAACTGGTCTTTGTGGTGCTCCCTGTCACGCCGGGCATCCACGTCTCTCACGTGCATGTGGCCGTGTACCCCTAGTTGTGTCTAGGGATGTATCCAGTGCGACCCTGGGAGTAACCCCCCTCCCATCTACCCTCCTCCCCAGTCTGGGGGTGACCCCTGCCTCTGTGGGCCCTCCTCCCCTTCCTTTGTCTAGCTGTGCCGCAGCCAAAACCCAAACACAAAAGAACGTCACTCCTAGATAAACGTGTCCCCAGAGCCCTCTCAGAGTCCGGCTGATTCATGGCTCAGTGGCTGTGGCTCTCCTCACCTGCTCCACATCCCCCCACCCCCTCCTGCCCAGAAGGGAGGTCAGAAATCCCTGCCTTCAGGATGGTGACAACCGTGTAGCCGCCTCTCCCCGCCGAACTTGGTCCCAGGGACCGGTGCTCCCTCCTCCTCCCTGTGCACCAGCCCTGGCTTCTGTGGCCACAGGGCGGGGCCGGTCCGCGTCCCCTCAGCTCAGGGAAAGGCTGGTACTGCCACTGCTTTCCAATGGAGCCCGCTGCACCTCCATGAGGGAGGTCAGAGTTAGCCGAGAGGGTGGCCACGCAGATGGCAGGTGGCCCTGGCCTGGGGAGGGTGTGGGTGAATTATTCCTGCCTGCCCTTTGTTGGATATACTGTTGACCCTGGAACAACGTGGCTGTTAGGGGCACTGACCCTCGTGCAATCAAAAATCTCCCAAAACTTAACTAATAGCCTACTGTTAACTGGAAGCCTTATGGATGATATAAACAGTCAACGAACGTATTTCCTATGTTATATATAGTATATACTGTATTCTTGCAGTAAGCTGGAGAAAAGGAAATGTTAAGGAAATCTCAGAGCACACCCCGACTTGCCGCTAGGGCACGTGACCTTTGCCCTTCTCTCCTAAATTCCAAGGGCCCTTTTGCTTCTGTAACCTTCGTAACCCAGCAGGCTCACTTCTACCACCTCTGTAACTTTCTAAGTAAACTTCCTCTTATAGTTTGAAAAAAAAGAAAATCCTAAGGAAGAGAAAATACATTTGCTGTATTGGGGAGGGGGGGTACTTGCATGTAAGTGGACCTGCACAGTTCAAACCCACGATGTTGAAGGGTCAACTGTATATCCCTGTAAGTATATCCAGTATAAGGAGTGCTGGGCCTGCCTGTATGTGAGAGAGAGGGGAATGGGGGGGTGGGGGGGGGTTAATAATACCAGGTGCCTGTGGCATCCATGTGAGGACGCATACAGATGTGACAGTCACACCCACCTACCCTTTTTCTCATGAGTATCTCCAAGTCTGTATATTTTGGACAAAGATTGTCGAACTCAGCAATCCCAGTCCCTCACCTCACTTTGGGAAAATTAGCTAAGAAAACAATGCCCTATCTCCCCATCCCATGCCCCCTGCTCACCTTGGAGATTTGCCTCCAAATAAATATTCGGATGGTGGCAGGAGGATGTGCTGAGTGCCCCAGCCTGGGGCCTGTCTTCTAAGCAGGTACAGAGCAAAGTGCCTTTCAACATGTCTATCCGGGGATCGATTCTTTTCCTGTCAAACTTGTTAATTTAAATGGAAATTAATTGCTCCTCTTGAACATTTCTTTAAAAATTGGTTTTAAATGAATGCATTAGGCAGTCACATTTATTATTCATTGGCTTCCTTCGCAATATGGCCCCGGTGTCCCGAGTTCCCGGAGATGCAAGCGTGGAGCGGAGATGATTTAATCAAGGAGGCCATTAATTAGAGCTGAGGAGCTGGGGGACACGGGTTCCACCCAGAGGAGCAGACTTCACAGCCGCTGGCCTCAGCGGGGTGCGGTGGGGGTGGGGTCTGGGCCGGTGGGGTTCTTTGCACAGTTTCTGCTCAGGATTCAGTGGAGACCATATGTGGTGGACAGTACGACCTTTGTTCCCAGCCCCAGAGGTCACTCTCCCACTCTCCTTGCTGCCTCATCCAGGCCACCGGGGACCTGGCAAAAATAAAGCCTTCATCTGCTCTTTCCTTCTGTGACCCCACAGCTGCCCCATCTCTGCCTGACTCCCTCGCACACCCCTTCCTGTCTCCGATACTTCCCAGCTCTTCCTGTCCTTCGCCTCCGGGAGTTGCAGTCTCCATGTTGGGCCCTCGATGTCAGGCCCACACCTGCCCAAGCCCCTTCCAGGTGAATGGGGTCCAGGTGTGGGTGTGTTCAACTGAAGGCACCAGTGCACCTTCAGGCTGTTTCTGGCCTTTTGTTAGTAGTTAACTCAGGACAGGTGCCACTCATACAAAATGATTTTGAAATTACAAAGCAAAGAGAGAAGAAAAATGAAAACAACTGTGTCCTACCCACTCATATGCCCAAATTCTAGAAGCAGCCAAATGGTTAAAACCCCATTTAAAAAGTTGCCAGAGGGCTCAGCAATGCACCAGACTGATCAATGAGTGAGAAAAATGATGGAGAATATTCATTTGAGACCAGTTTTCATTGCTGCGACAGAATTCTCAGGTGTTTGGATCAAATTGCTTTCAAACAAATTGTTTTCCATTGAAACTTCGCCTATTTCCCCAAAGGGCTTGGCTGCCCCCTCTTCTCGACCCCTCCACCCCCGCCAGGAATGGGGGCCAGTGGGGATGGGTCTCCAGGCTCAGACTTAACCCTGCACCACTGCCTCCTCTGCCCTTTCTGGACACAGAACAACCAGCGCATCAAATGTCAAAGGTCCCGTTTATTCCGGCAACCAAGAAGGTAAAGGTGTAATTGAAAATAAAAACAAACAGATCCATGCACTCAGCTCCTTGGACGGGAAGAGGAAAGGTTCAGAGAGAGAGAGAGAAGGGAATGAGTGGGAGGGAAGCACAGAGGGAAGGAAAGAGAGACAGGCAGAGACAGGGAATGATCTGGAGAGTCAGATCAATAAAAAGAAAAGAGGGACATCAATAAAAAGGCAGGATGACAAAGAACTGGAGTATCAAAATCAGATCAATAAAGGAGAAGAGACAACATTGAGAAAATGCACCAATAGAAATACAGAGGCAGAGAGTGAAAGCCGGGCGAAAGGCAGGGAGAGGAAAAAGAGACAGGAGGAAAGGCGGGGCAGGACAGAGACAGATCAACTTGAAGGGACACAGGCAGAGTAGAAGGGCCCCCGGTGGCCCTCTAGGGGTCCCCAGCAGTGCTGATGACGTGGAAGAGGGTGACATTGTAGAGCACCTGGTGGCCGTTGTTCCAGGTATAGAGGGCCCGCTCCCGGGGATTGTAATCCAGCATGGAGATGTGGGAGTACTGGTTGTGGAAGGGCACGTCCGTGTACTCGTAGCTGGACGTGTTGGTGAAGTAAGCAAAGTAGACCTTGGCCCCGGCCAGGTGGGAGTTGGTCACGTAGAGCACCCCGCAGATCATGAAGGCCTCCCCAGCGCTGCGCTTGGGGTAGCCCGTGTCCCAGGACCGCATGACCTCCAGGGTGTGCGGGTCCAGCCGGCTGACCACGATGTTGCCCGCGTTCTGGTTAGTGGTGTACACGGCCCAGAGCCCGCTCTCATCTACCATGAAGTCCATGTCGGAGAAGCCGCCCCAGGAGTAGGGGAAGGTGTTGTTGTAACCGGCCCCCGGGAGGCTCCTCTGCACCAGCACGGAGCGAGAGCCGAAGTGGTACTTGACGACCACGTTGCTCTGGTACTTGTTGTAGAACAAGGAGCCGTTGTACACCACGTGGCCGGTGCCCGCCCACGGCTGGGGCAGCAGATGCTGGATAAAGTTCTGGCCTTTGATGAAGTCTCCCAGAGTGCGGAACTCCAGCACACGCCGGCCCTTGTAATAGCCGTCCATGTACCAGACCTATGAGAGAGCCACTGGTCACTGGGGGGCCACTGCCAGTGACCCAAAGTCTGCGGCAACCACTTAGGAATTGGCCGTGGTCATTAGGAGTCAATAGTTACTAAGTGGTCACTCATGACCTATCCTAGTCACAGTGATTGGGATCATTAGATCAGGGAGTGCCATTGGTCTTAAAACACCCACTAAATGGACAGGGCTTGATCCCTATGGATCAGGGGGAAATTACAGTCTCTAGAGACTCACTGGGCCTGGAAATTTACTGGTCATTGGCTATTGAAAGGTTAGTGGTCATTGGACAGCCATTGGCTGATGAGAGGTCACTTGAATTCATTGCCCATGGTAACCCCTGCAACCATGAGGTGATCAGGCCTGTGATCAGCACTTTCATCATTATCGTCACTCACCAGCATATTCATTAGCCCTAGAGCCCTTACTAGGGTTGGTTACTGGGCTATGCATCTTAAAAACGTTAATGCCAGCATCATCACGACCCTTTTGGAGATAAGGAAATTGAGTATCCAAGACATGAAGGAACCTTGGGCAGCTAAGAATTGGAACTGAGATGCAAATCCAAGTCTGGTTCCCAAACCCAAGCTCTTAACCACATGGTTGAACCACCATGATCCCTGGAGACCAATGTTCATGGCAAGGATATCAGTCACTAGCACATCAGTCACTAGTCACTGGGCAGTTAATGAATGGTCCCTCTAGATCAGAGGTGATTGACAATTCTGGATATAGAGGCCACTGGAAATCCAAAGGCCACTGAGTGGTGCTGAGTGGGGAGCTTGGAAGGAGCTCTAGTTCTTGTGAAGACACAGGTTACTAGATAGTTACTTAAAGGTCAGTGGTCAAAGGAGCTGGTCAGTAGTACCAGTAACCATTAGTCTCTATACAGTCATCAGAGGTCAACAGACTTGGGGACTCAGAAGGCTAAAAGGTCCTTGATCACTTGGTAATCAGCAGTCAAGGGGAGGTCCAAGGGCTCTGAAGATCCAAAGACACTTTGGGCTACAAGAGAATCATTGGTGTGAACTCACCAGGCACTTATGGGCAGCCACAGGCTGTCCCTCCCTCCCAGGTTCCAACCCCTGCGGTGGGCACAGTGACTCACCCGGCTGTCCGCACTGGGGGCCATCGTGTCGGTCATCCAGGAGCCGAAGCGGGACCCCATGGCTCTAATGGTGATGGGGTTACTGACCCCAGTCAGCTTCCCACAGCCTGAGAGGCAGGAACAGGGGGAATAAGGGAGTCAGAGGTGGAAAGAGCCCACTGGAGGTAGAGCAAGGATAAAGTGGGGCTGGGAAGAGGTGGGACCAGGGATGAGAGTGGATCCAGAGATCTGGTTCCAAGATGGAGTTAAGTTGAGGGTGATGGGCTAGAAGTCAAAGGTCAGGGCTATTTTCAGCTTTGGGGTCTATTTGCGACTTTGGGAAGGGAGACCAAAGGTCAAAGTTTAGATGTTAGAGGTCAATATTGTTTGGCTTCTATGGTACTGGGATTGGACATGGAGGTAAGGGGTCAAAGTCAAGGGTCAAAGCATACCCAGCTTCTGGGCGCAGGCGTGGAGCCGGGCCTCCAGAGCCATCACCCGCTGCTGCAGGTCCTCATACCCGTAGGCACCCATCTCCTCCTGGATGGCTGCAAGACTGCTGGACAGATTCCTCACCTCTTCCCGCAGGCGCACAATAGTCCGCGTGTCTGCCTTATACTGCTCCAGGACCGAGCTCAGGGGCAGCAGCTCCGTCATCCTGTCCTTCAGTTCCTGCTCACCAGGATGGAACTGTCGCTGATCCCTATCCCTGACCTTCAACCCAGAAATGACCCAACCTTTGACCCATAGTCTCACCCCCTCTCTTTGACATTTGGCCCACACTGGACCCTAGATCCCAGCCAACCCTCAGTCTTCCCAGATGCAATCTCACTCTCAGAAAAATGGGCAACATTCCCAATTCTTCTTTTGACCTCTGACCTGACCCCAAAGGACCCACCTGGAAGCTCTTGGCAGAGAGGGACCCATCAGCTGCCCGGAGCCGTGCATCCAGGTTCCGCATGAGGGTCTCCATGCTGCGCACGTACTGGAGGTCACGATACGTCCGCAACTCAAGGACCTCCATGGACTGGGAGACATTCTGGACCTAGGAACTGGGAGGGTTAGAGACAGCCAGACTCCTGCCCCAGCCAACCTTCTCCTCACCTGATCTTACCAACAGCCTCCCAATGGCAAGCCCATCCATTGGCTCCACTCAGGATAGCCACCATCACTTTTCACTTCTCTCCTCTACTCCCTGGCCTCCTGCTCCCACCCTAGCCCCAACAGTCAGTTCTCCACAGAGCAGCTAGAGGGAGTTTTTCAAAGGGAAGACTGGATCTCCCTTCCTCTGTAGACTCTTCCAGCTGGTTCTGCCCCCTTGCCTGCCTCTCTGCATGTGCATCCACTCCAACCACCAGTCCCTTTCACCCTCACAGATTCCAAGTTCCTTTCTTCCTCAGGAAAGGTCTTTGCACTCTCTGATCCCTCTACCTGGAGCACTGTTCCCATCGTCTTCCCACAGCTGGCTCTGTCTCATCATTCAGGTCTCAACTCCAGCATCACCTGATCACCGTTTCAAGTAAACACTCGCTCACTCTCCCCTCACCCAGTTATTATCTTCCCAATAAGGATTTTATCTGAAATGGTCTTATTCATCTGTTACCTTCAGATGGTATCCTCAGAGGCAGACCCGGTATCTAGCATGTCCACAGCCAAATCTCTAGTGCCCAGCGTGGGTCCTAAGCAGATACTTAATAAATACTTTTTGACTTAACGAGTAACCTGAAATTCCCTAGCCCTTGGCCTCCTAACTCAACCTGAAGGCCCTCTAGCTCCCACCTCCACCTCGGTCAAGTGAGCTGCCCGTAGCCAAGGTGGGCCCCACCTGGCTAAGGTGGGCTCAAAGGCAAGTTGTTGACACAGACTTTCCACATGACCTTGGAAGTTCTCAACAGCCTGATACCCGCCCTGGCCACCGCAGAACAGGATAGAGCCACTGTACACAATCAGGGACATCACACGGAAGTCCCAAACGGTTGGGGAAAGCAATTCTGGTGTAGTGGGTAGGAGGAGCCCACACAGTTGATAGGTGGGAGACTCTTGGGTTGACAGGGTCCCTTCCGTCCTCTGCCAAGCCTCAGCTTCCTCCTTTATAGGGTGATGGTGGGTGGTAGCTGGTCCCTTTTAACACCAACATTAGAACCGTCTAATGGGCAGTCAGCTGGGCAGTGGCAAGGGCAGCAAGCAGTGTACAAAGGACACCACGTCTGCAGAGGGATGTATTGAATGGGGACCATTTTCTATTGACCATGATCAAAGGGGAAGGAATCTTTATACGAACCTCTTGGCATAGAGGCTGAGACCCCTCCTCAAGGGCACAAAACACCTTCTCAGGAGATGAGTATGACACACTGAAGGGCTGAGTGGGGCGTGCACAGTGAGGGTGGAGCTCACACATGCAGGCGACGGATGCTGCCACTGGAGTCCTCTTTCCTCCTGGTTCCCACACAGAGTTCAGCCAAAAAATGGCTGAACAGATACTAACTAAAATATCCATCTGGAGGGGAGGCCGGTTGTCTGCCAGCTCCGAATAACCAGCATGGCTAGACATGGCCCTGGCTGACCTGGATGGGGGCGGAGGGCAAGAAGAGAACTGGGAGATTTCTCCGAATCCCCCCAAAGAAACCTTCTCACCTTCTCCATCAACTGCCGCAGCTCCCGACTCCTGCCGTCTCGGGCGCAGGTGCTCTGAGCGGGGATCACGGCCGTGCAGATGCATTTCCCATCGGGGGCCTGGGCCGAAGTATACAGCTGCCAGCCTTCTTCTGGGCTTTGGAAGAGGGTCTGTGGGGAAGCCACGGGTTAGAGAGCGGGAAGCCAGGGGGGACTCAGCCAGCCCTCTCTGAGGAGAAAGGGGAGCTGGAGAAACAACAGCTGCCTCCTACCAGATCCCTGGAATGGGCAGAGTGACTGAGGCAGGGGACCCCATGTTACAAACGACAAGATTGAGGTACAAAGAGTAAGAGAACACCGCAAGGAATTGTGGGATTTGAGCCCTTGCACAGGCAGGAATTTAATCTCGCACACACATTTGCACACACACAACATTGCCTCCATAACCACCATTAGAAATAGGGCTGCTAGGACACCCAGCCACGGATCTCCCTTTCTGCTTCCTCAGCCCAGAGACACATAAGCTCCGGATACACAGCAAAGGCCACTAAGCACAACCCTATTGTTGTCCCCTCCCCATCTCTGCCCCTGCTCCTGAGACGCCCAAGCATGGCAATGGCCACACAGTGACAATCCTGAGGGAGACTTCAGGGCCTTGAATACTTTAAGACTCCTCCTAAGCAAAACTTCAAGTTCGTTGATATAACTCAGGTAATTCTGAGATTTATCGTGGCTGTGTTTGCAAGCCATGATCCTTGGAATACTGGCGATCTTACCAGGTGTGCTGGGAAAAGGGTCCTCTGTGGTCAGGTAAGTTTGTGCCTTGTTCGAAAAAAAACACTGACTGCCAAAACTCTGATATTTCTTTTAGCAATATATTTCTTTTATTTATGTCAGGCAAGAAAAATAAATCAGACTGTATCAAACTAAAAAGTTTTGCACAGCAAAGGAAATCATCAACAAAACAAAAAGACAACCTACTGAATGGAAGAAGATATCTGATGAAATATCCAATAAAGGGTTAATATCTAACATTTATAAAGAACTCATACAACTCAACAAAAAAAAAAAAAAAAAGTCCAATTAAAAAATGGGCAGAGGATCTGAGTAGACAGGTCTCCAAAGAGGACATACACATAGCCAATAGACATGGCAAGATGCTCTGTGGCCAGGTAGCTCAGTTGATTACTAATTCCAGTATTATCCTGATACACCAAAGTTGCAGGTTCAGTCCCTGGTCAGGACACATAAAAGAAACAACCAATGAATGCATAAATAAGTAGAACAACAAATTGATGTTTTCTCTCTTTCTCTCTCTCTCTCTCTCTTTCCTTACTCTCTCAAATAAATCAATAAAAAATTTTGTAAGGATGCTCAACATCACAATAAAAAAAACCATGATGAGATATCACCTCACACCTTTCAGGATGGCTATCATCAATAAATCCAACAAACAACAGTGTGGTGAAGATGTCCTGTTGGTAGGAATGTAAATTGGTGCAGCCACTGTGGAAAACGGTATGGCGGAGCCTCAAAATATAAAAAATGGAACCACCTATGACCCAGCAATTCCACAGCTGGGCATATATCTGAAGAAACCCAAAATCCATATAATTCAAAAAGATATGTACAGCCCTATGTTCATTGCAATGTTATTTACAATAGCCAAGATATGGATGCAACCTGAATGCCATCAGTAGACAGCTGGATAAAGGAGATGCAGTGCATATAAACAATGGACTATTACTCGGTCATAAAAAAGAATGAAATCACTTGCAGCAACATGGATAGAGGGAATTATGCTACATGAAATGAGTCAGACAGGGAAAGACAAATACCACATGACTTCACTTATATGTGGACTCTAAAGAACAGGATAAATGAACCAACAAAACAAAAACAGACTCATAGATGCAAAGAACAAACGACATTGCCAGATGGGAGGGCATTTGAGGAATGGGTGGAAAAAGTGAGGGGATTAAGAAGTACAAATAGGTAGTTACAAAATGGTCACTGGGATGTAAAATACCGCATAGGAAATATAGTTAATCATATTGTAATAACTATGTATGGTATCAGCTGGGTATCTGGATTATTTGGGGGGGATCACTTCTTAAATTATATAAATGTATAACCACTATGCTGTACCCCTGAAACTAATGTAAAATAATATTGAATGTCAACTGTCATTGAAAACTCAAATGAAAGCTAAGAAAGCATTGGCTGTCGCTGGCTGGAACATGCCAGGCCTCCAGATCAGGCCCCCTTGAGCTTCTGGAGTTAGTCACAAGTCCCAGTCCTTTTGTGTTTTACCGCGGCATGATGGCCTCATTTGTTCAACAAGCATTTGTTAAGCGCCTGCTGTGTGTCCAGCTCTGTTCTGGATCCTGAAATCACAGTGTGAACAACACACACAAAGACAAAAGCTCCTCTAGGAGTGCACATTAGAGAAACGGAAACAAACCATTAAGTAAACGTCCTGTATTTAAAGGGTGATGGTGGCATCGAGAGAAGTAATGCAGGGAAGAAATGATGGGGGCAGGGTTAGAGGTGGGTGGGGTTGCAATTTTAGGGTGGCCTGGGAAAGCCTCCGTGAGAAGATGCACTTGAGTCAAGACCTGAAGGCGGTGAGGGAGAAGCCAAGGAAGGATGTTCCATGCAGAGAGAACAGAAGGTGCAAAGGCCCTGAGGCAAGATCCTGCCTGGAGTGACTAGGAAACATGGGAAGCGACTGGTGTTGCTGGAGCAAAGGGGTAGGTGGTGATGCGAGGGCAGGGAGGAAGAGGAGGAGGAGAGCATGGAGGGGACAGGGCCGCATGTCAGGGCCTGTAGGCAGTGAGGAACGTTAGATGTTTGCTCTGAGTGAGGTGGGAGTCATAGAGGGTTCTATCGATAAAAGGAGGATAGACATGACCTGAGTCAGGTGCTCACAGGCTCCCTCTGGCTGCTGTGGGGGGAACAGACTGTGGGGGTCAGGGAGCAGGATGAGGGCAGGAGACCAGGGTAAGGGTGACTGCTGTGACTGCTCCATCCCGGCAAGAGATGGGTGGTGAGCGTAGAGGTGGAGAGATGATGAGTGGTGAACACGGAGGTTGGAAGTGAACGACTCTGGTCCCATCCAGGATGTATTCCCACAGGCACTGAAGAAATTCTGATAAAAGCCCAAGTGTTTTGCAGAGAAACAAAGCCCTATAATTGATCATTTGCAAGCCATTCACTGAGTGCCCAGCAGAAGCCAGGCTGTGTTGTGCACAATCCTGGAGCCTCCAGCTATTACACGCCCACCTTTTTCTCTCCCACTCAATAAAGCCTTTTTCTGGAAAGCTTATTAGAATGTGAGTGATAAAATTGTACAGACGAGCTTGACTCCTCACTGTCATTAGTCATTGTTTGTGCCTATTACACAACCTTTTGAAGTTGGGGAACCCCTCTCTATGAGCCCATGTGGGGGAATGACGTCACTCGCCTTCCCAGACTCCCCTGCGTGCAGGTATGATTCAGGCGGAGCCAACACTCATGCCTCTGCAGTCCTGCGGCAGCAGCGAGGCTCGGATCACCCAAGGCCCAGGGCTTTCCCTGGGGGTCTGAGCCCGCTCTGCCTTTGCACTGGGCAGGCTTCTCCCGCCCGCAGGCCCCATCCCTGCCTCCTAGGAATCAGTGATAAATGCCTCCCTCTCGCCTCCCTGGTAGGAGGACTCTGAGGTGTGCACAGCGCATCGTTTCCCAGGGGAGCCCATTAGGACCTGTACTCCCGGTGCCCACAGCAGCACGCTGCTCACTAGCTCACCCTGCATGGGTTTCCTTCCCTTCTCCTCTCCCTTCTCCCACTGGGTCCTCTGGGGATCACCTCCTGAGGGAGCCCAACCCCAGACAAGAAGGTGACTCAACACAAAAAGGGTGAGTCAAGAAAGCTTTCCCCTAGCGCCTGGAAGACCATAGCTAGCTTTGCCTTCTTTCACAACAAATCCAGTTCTCTAAAACACACACACACACACACACACACACACAGCAACACACGTGAGTCCAGGCTTCCCCATCCACGTTCCCTGGCTCTGATCCCCAAGCAATTTGGACAGGACCCCCTGAAAAAGTCTCACCTGTGCAGAGACCAAGCTGCCCAGTCCAACCTATTTAGCATCTCCTTCCTACATCTCCTGGGCTGTGCTTTGAAGCAAACCATCCCCATTCTCTCAACAACAGAAATATTGAATTGCAAAAGAGAAGCAAGATTTACATGGCGAGGAGAGGCGGCCTCCGCGGCTTTCCTAAAATAATTGTCTGCGTGGACACCCCTCGCAGGAGCGCTCTCTGCAGCAGGGTAATTAAATGCCTGGGGTTTGGCCGCCGCCAACTCTCAGCACGGCAGGCATCACCCGCTGCCAGGTTCAAGATCAAATACTACACAGGCAAGTTCACGTCCCCAGGGGCCCCTGGGATGACCTGGAAGGCTTGATGTTTGAGGGTCCAAGTGCCTGCTCTGTTAGACTGGGTTTAGCTTGGAACCAACGTCATGAACTCTTGGAGGTCCCAGACCGAGAGACAGAGCATGGCCTGTGCTACCGCCTCCGACGAGGTGGCCTGTCTCACCTCCGATGTGGCAAATGCTCCCCAGAAGCCAGCCGCTGTCTTGGCCGAGACACTGGTTCTGAGTTTAATATCCCTGCTAATGGCCTCTAAGAGGGTAAGTATGTGCTCAGTGGCTGCTCAGCTTGTCTTTCTGGCTGGGAGTTTTCCAAACACTTTCGCAGAGGCTGCTGCCCCAATTAAGCCGATGTCTCTGGAACAGATTCGGGATTGACCAAGTCTGAGAAACTCAGGAAAAAATTCTCTGACTGTCACACCCAGGTCTCAGGGCCCAGCGCCCCCCCCCCCCCCCCCCCCACGCCTTGGTTTAAAAGCAATTCCTCGGTCTTCCAAGATCCCGGGGGCAGCCAGCCAGCCAGCCAGCGCTGGCTACGGGGGATTAGCCGACAAGAATAGAGCAAGCAGCTGGCTCTTAATAAGACAAGGATATTATTGCATTTGAGGCTGGACAATTTAATCAGGAAGCAGAAGTGGCTTGGGGCTTATACATTTATTTGTCCCCTGCCTTGTTCCAGAGAGGATTCGAGAGGTTTACAGGGATATGTAAAACACCACAGATAGCTCCAATTTAAAAAAAAGTGGGAATT